GGCAGCGGTAGCGCCTGCTGCTCAATGCTGCTGCTGCTGCTGCTGCTGCTGCCGCTGCTGCTGCTGCTGCACCCCAGCAGTGTCTCTGGGGGAACGTCTCCCGCTGCTGCTGAGTCAGCTGCTGTTTCTGCTGCTTCTGCTGCAGCTTCTGTCCTCTCACTTGCTGCTGCTGCTGCTGCTGCTGCTGCTGGATCGCTTGCGTCTGCAAGCGGTGTATCAGCATCATCATAGGCAGCTTCTGCTGCTTCTGCTGCTGCTGCTGCTGTTGCTGCTGCTGCAGCTGCTGCTGCTGTTGCTGCTGCTGCTGCTTCACCATCGGGGTCTGCTGCTGGCGGTTCAGGTGTCAGTACATCTCCGGTGGTTTCATCTGCTTCCTCTGCTGCTGCTGCTGCTGCTGCTGTTGCTTCTGCTGCTGCTGCTGCTGTTGCTTCTGCTGCTGCTGCTGCTGCTGAAGGGGATAGGGAGTTTTCTGCTTGGCTGCCGGTGTCGTAGTGTCTCCTTTTGCCCCGGCTACTTGCAGCAGCAGCATCAGCAGCAGCTGCTGCTGCTGCTGATGCTGCTGCTGCTGCAGCTGGGTGCTGTATCTGCGGGGGGGAGGGTAGATGAGCAGCAAGTTGCTGCTGCAGCGGCAGCAGCAGCTGCTGTCGTAGCCAGTCACGGATGCGGAGACAGAGCTGCTGCATCGATGCAGTGGCAACTGTCTCCTCTTCTGGCGCTGCTGCTGCTGCTGCTGCTGCTGCTGCTGCTGTTGCTGCTGCGGGCCCTATGCCCAGGAGGATATCTGCTGCAGTAGGAAAGAGAGGCAGCGGCCTGAAGCGCGGCAGCAGCAGTGTCTCTTTGTCTCCTGCTGCTGCTGCTGTTGCTGCTGCTGCCTCTGCTGCTCCTCTTTCTTTACCAGCAGCAGCAGCAGCAGCAGCAGCTGCTGCTGCTGCTGCTGCTGCTGCTGGCGGCTGAATATCCGCAGGGACTGTCTCCTGATAGCCCCTGAAACCCAAGACACCCGGCACGGCCCGCGTTGCTGTGCTGCAGCAAGGAGACACACAAACAGCAGCAGCAAAAGATACAAGTTGCAGCAGCAGAGGAGACAAACTGCAGCAGCAGCAGCAGAGGAGACAAACTGCAGCAGCAGCAGCAGAGGAGACAAACTGCAGCAGCAAAGGAG